AGTAAAAGCCATCTGTTTACAGCTTTCAAAGACCCAGGAAGGGGGATGGGGGAGAGAGAGAAAAAATAGTTTGCAATTCTGTATATGGAGGGGGACCCCCAGCGCACGCTGGGAGATGAATCCCCCCGTAATGTTCTATTCAACAATTATACCAATTCTTCCAAAATCCACCACATTTTCCATTTTGTCTTATAAAATTGTGATCCAAACATCATTTCTTATCCCAGATAAATATGGGACATTAAGGAAAGGATGCTTCCCCCCCCCCACAGCTTTCTCTCTCTGACATTTGTACCCTAAAATAGGATACATAGCAATCACTCTATAAAATTCTTAAAATAACAAACAGAGTGGCAAGATATAAACATAGCAGCAAGCTTTTGGAATTTGATTTCAGGGGACAAATATATGTGTAAGTTTGCTTGACTAAAGGATGTACTTCATATAAGATATCAACATGTTATCTAAGTATATAATCCCTAATGAAATAAATCCAATGCTTCCTTCTCTCAGAGAATGGGAATCTTTCCATCTTTTTTCATATTCTTGGGCTGCAATGACATTTCCATAGATGTAACTCCACTAAACTGTGAGATTTGCATATGAATATATATTTAAAGGTTAATGTTGTCCTTTTCCTTCCTTTCACATTATTACTGTCTTCAGGAACCTCAGATTATTCTCAATCTGCCCCAGTTCTGAAGAAAAAGCTGTTCCAATAGTCCACCACACTTGATTTTTTTTCAGTTCTGTAATTCAAGTTATTGTCAGATGGAAAGCACAAGATTGACAAGAACTATTGTCCTGACACAACTTGAGGACACCCTTCGTTCTTTCCCCATGGTGTTTGTCAAAGAAGAGGCTGCAAACTAATTACCGACCAGTTTGACAAGCCAGCTGGATTTCTGCCTGAAGCAGCAGCTGTAGGTTTCTGTCAGGTCTGCAGAAACAAGCCCTGTTGCCTCCATGAAGTGAGCCAATCCCACACAAAGCTCTCCTAAGTTGCAACAAGTCAAACAGCTGGCATTCATTAACAATCTGGCACAAATCTTACCTCAAAGTAACAAACAGCCCAAATTGGCGCTATGAGCTTAGAGACTCAGATCAGCCTTTGGATTGAGGCTTTTTCTCTTGCTTGAACTCTTAAGTTAGAAGCTTCCCACCCTGCTTGGTCCTGCAGTGGAATTCGTGTTTCTTTCAAGTGTTATTGGATTAGGAAGTGGTAACAGATGCAGATTTGCTAGACCAGTGAGACCAAGAAAGTAGTTGCGCTATTTCCATAACGGTGACTTAGGCAATTTCTTCTCTGGGCTCTAAGAAACTCAACAACTTGCAGCCTTGTATCCGAGACTATCTAATGCAGGGGTGTCCAATCTTGGCAACTTTAAAACTTGGGGACTTCAGCTCCTAGACTTTCCCAGCCAACATGGCTGGCTGGGGAATTCTAGGAGTTGCAGTCCACGAGTCTTAAAAAGTGACTGAGGTTGGATGCTCCTGTTTTAATGAATGAACCAAGAGGTATGGGGCAACTATTCCATAAGGCAGCCTGTGCTTTACTAATGATTGACCATGCATGACACAGAGGTGTGTCAGACAGTATAAAGGGCACTCCCTACCTCTCCATTTGTGGTGACGTTCAACCTCTGCTCTGCCCAGATAAAAACCTTGCAAAGGTAATGCAAAAGGATTCTAGGCAAACATGCTAGGGCTTTTTGGAAATCTTGAGAAAGAGTTCCATTAAAAAAAACGCTGAAGCATTTCATGATGCATTTGCTGTTCACAAAGCAAAAATCAGGTCCAAAACACAGATTGCCCCAAGTAGGATGCAGAGGAACTATAGAGAAGTGATATACCTAGCAAAGATAAGTGAAAATACATTCCAGTTCAAGAAAATGGCGACTGACATGCCTCTCCCCACCTTGCTCAAAGAATCAACCAACCCCTGCCTTCTTACAAATTCTCACATTTCTCTACCCTCATTCCAGGCTGGATTTCCACGTAACACATTTCAGACGTTTCCAAAGTCAGTGGTGAAAAGTGCAAGGGGCTTGTGGGCAATTTGCTTTGTACTGAAAGGTAAGTGGTGGGACGTTACCATCGAAGCAGGAGGAGGAGGAGGAGCAGCAGTTTTTCTTCCCTCTCTTACTTTTTCCTATGAGATGCAGAACACAGAAGGACGCAGATGTAGTAAGAATCATTCAGACAGAAATTCTCGGCGCTTCAGTGATTGCTTTGCTATAGGATAGGTTTAATAAGAAAAAGGGAAGATTTCCCCCCTTAGAAAGAAAGGGGGGGAAAAAGAGAAGGAAGAATAGATGCAAAGGAAGGACAGACAAGGAGGAGAAAAAAAGAGAAAAGCAATTGTCAAGAAAGTAAAGAAAGACTTTTTTTTAAAAAACCCTGCAGATATACAATTCTTGCAAAACCCCACCACCATCCAGACAATTTAGGATCACGGCCACCAATGTTTGCTGCATATTTAACAGGTTGGATATGTTAAACAAAACTCTCAAAACATCCTGCCATAATGAAGTTAATCGAGCTGAATACTTCCAGTGATAAAATTAGTTCATGGCACTCCATCATTTTTATCTGGCCTTTGAGTAACGATGGAGGAAGCACCAGCACACCTGAGAGCCATGTTTACTCAGTCCAGTTTTTCCTATCTGGGCCTTCCAGATGTGTTAAACTCCAACACACAAATGTTGTAGTTAAGCAATGAATGCAGGCTTTTGTTGTCAAAAACATCTGAAAAGGATCAGATTGAAGATGGCCGGGCTACTTCCAACCATTAAAATATTGCAATTAGATGACCATATCCCATCCTAGGCTGAAAAAAACCCCCATGAAGATTTAAAAATATAGTTTAAGTAGTCAACCCCAACTAAGTACAATGGTTGCCTTCTTGTTAAGCCATTAGTAGAAACTATTAGCAAAGTCTGTTCAGATATAAAATCTGAGCCACAGCATATATAGGAAGAGGATTATAACTCAATGATTCCCAAACTTTTTGGAGTTTTATCTGCCTTTTAAAAGTCCTCAAATTAGATGATTCAAGCAGAGAGGCCCAGGGCAGCATTTTACTTGTCTGTATGTAAGACACATTATCCCCAGGCAAAGAGAGAGAGGATCCACAAGGGTTTTCTGACATGTCAGGTACCAAAACCAATCCCATCACTATGAAGGCTCAAGACACAGATATTAGGATGCCAACAAGCAATGTTAAATAGGCTAGTCCTGAAAGAAAAAGGGTTATTCCCACCAATTGTTTTGTAAGCCAACTTGGAAAATATGCTTGACCTTTTTGCATATAGCAGTGGAGTGGCAAAAAGAAATCTAACCTGGGCTCTAGATCGATCACACCACTTCAGAACATCTTGACTAAAATCCCATCTAAGCCAATCTGTTTAACTGATGCAATCTCTGCTCACACACAAGATGTTGAACTACTGGTTCCTCCTTGAGAATCAGGTATTACTAAGCACATTAGGCAGCTGTACATAGTCTATGAAACTGACAAACTTCACAGCCTATGAAACTGGCACATGAAAATCACATCCTGACGGCTCATAAAACAAGAAAAACCCTAGAACCAACACTTTTATGCAAATAGATTAAAAATCTGCAAGTTCACCATGACTTATGGTTCACATTACGGGAGGATACGCCACCTGTGGATTGTTTTAGTGATAAATACACTCATTATTTATCAGAAGAACTGGCCACGACTCTCTTAATGCATTTCTTACTGTTTGTAGCCATATACTCTGCTACTGAGATTCTGTTAATACAAGAAAGGTAGCTATAGTACAAGCCATATGGATGCCATAGGACAAACTAATAATAATGTGATGAGGTCTGGCATCAGCTTCTTTGGTGGCCAGGGCTAACAGTGAGAGCAGGAAACTATGAAACCTACACCCTGCAATTCAATAATCTAACGCTCCTAGATCCACCAGGTAGAGTCTGGGTAACTTCTCTTAAAAAATTGCGACTTTCTTTGTCTATATCAGAGTATTGATCTTTAGCTTCCTTGCTCACCTGCCCAAATTACCTACAGGCCTTTTACCCTCACAACCTAATACATTTTCCTATGCAACTACCAATGTGCCCTAAAAGAAAGAAGTCAAAAGTGGGGGGATTAATTGTCCTTCTCTGAATATCACAAAGGTAAAAATGTATTCTCTCTGGCAGATGAACCTAGGCATCTCAATAAGTCTAATACTACAGAAAGAAGGAAATTCACTCCCAAGAAAAATGTTCTCAGAACTGATGTCCAAGAATAAAGACATGACACAAAAAAATATTCATTAATTAAAAACAGCTTGAGGTATCACGGAACCATAACACTATGTAAATCTCTGGATTTTTATAGAATTCTGTAACTTTACTATTTCTACTCAGGCAAAATATGACAGGCCCCCATGGTTATTTTAATTATATAAGAATAAGTTAGCTCAGGGTGGGAGAGTTATTCATTATAGTTCTATGTAGGTTAACAAGATAACAGGCTAATTTACTGCATTAAATATTAATGGAAACAATGGTAAGACCTTCTCCACCTATATGACTTTATTATTGGACGTTCAGAGGTAGATCTACAAGGACTTCAATCTGAAAGCTGTGGCCTGATTTTGAGGCTATTGGCAACAATTCCGAGATTGGGCAGATGTAAAAGGTGGGGGGGGGTTGTAATCTACTTTGAAGTTCTTATAGAAGCCTTGGCCTATAGTAATGTTTTTATATTGTGCTTGGTTTGTTTTATAAAGGCAGTTAGCTGCTTTCGTAAGCCAGGAATGCAGGGCATACAATTTAGAAATTTTAAAAAAATAAATTAAAGCAACTGTTATTGGTTTTGTTACAGCATGCAAAGCAAGGATCTTTTAAAAGATTAAGCTTCCAATTTCATCACTATGCAGTACAAAAAGATATGCAAGAGAAACCAACAGCACACACATGCCTCTTTTTCCTCTGTGCACCAATCCTTTCAGCACTCTTACCTGGTTAATCACATAGATGCCATAATCAAGCTGCTGCCTTCTCAGGATTGGATGCAGGTAAAACAACCAGTATTTCAAGTGTTCATCTCGATTTCTGAAAGGGATAATAATTGCCACTCTCTGAAGTGCTTTGCAGTCCTTTGGTGTATAGCGGCCTCCTTCCCTGAGTTGTGGATTTTCCTCCTCCACATTCTTCAGATTCACAGGTTGTGAAAACTCCACATGCAATGGACCAACTGGGAGGAGAAAAAAAACAGGATTAGATTAAATAAGGTTGTGGGTGGTAAGTGACATTTCACTGAGAGTCATTGCTAGATTTTATAAAGAATCTAAAAATTAAGAGCAGGTGCCAAGGTTCATTTTAACTATGTTTATGAAGGTATTGTATGCAAAACGTGAAACTCGTATTTCGGAAATCTCATATTGGGATCATAAATGTTGCATCTCCAAGACCTAGAATTTTTACTATAGAGGAGTAGTGTTGACTCTAAGCAACATTGTTCTCATAGGTCAGTGATGGCGAACCTTTTAGAGACTGAGTGCCCAAACTGCAACCCAAAATCCACTTATGCATCGTCGAGTGCCGGGTGGGCGTGGCCCATTGGGTGGGTGTGGCCCATTGGGTGGGCGTGGCTGTGGTAGTAATGGCAGACTGGGTGGGACTAAAAAGTTCAATCAATCAATTCCAACTTTGCAAGATCTTTTTTTTCCCCGCAAGAAGTTAAAATTGACTGATTGAACCTTTTTTTTTTTTTTTGCACATGGCAGCGGAGGCCTAAAGCGAAAAGGTTTTATAAAACCCAGCTGAAGGCCTAGGACTGGGGCAACGGCGCGCGTGCCCACAGAGAGGGCTCTGAGTGCCGCCTCTGGCACCCATGCCATAGGTTCGCCACCACTGGCATAGGCACCCTGCCTGTCAAAAGTCAAAACACGATATTTCTCATTTCTTATATCATTTTAGTTTAAAATTCTAGTTCGTTGACCCCCCTCCTTCAGTTGCATTTGGCCTGGGTGTTTGCATTGTACACACTGGGCACAGTAAGCTTCCCTCGGCCATTGCTGATTCTGGACTTCCCTTCTCATGCACTTTATTGAGCAGGGTGGGGAACTGGATCTAGACCAGTAACTAGAGCATATTCCCTCTACTGCTGGTGAGAAGGATGATGGGGGTGGTGGTTGATATCCTAGATCAGAGGTCAATGTCACGTGATGTGTCGCGACATATCATGACTTTTTTTCCATTGCTGGCAATGGGGTGGGTGCGGTTTCGCTATGATGCATCCGGCCCGCGGGCCAGTAGTTTGACACCCGTCCTAGATTAAAGAAATATTCTCAAGGTTGCGTGTTCTCACTTTTTTTCCCACTGCTCTCCTGAATGCTGCTCTGTAGTGAAACTGAGCATAGCATCAGCAATATATAAAAAACCCATTTTGCAGATTGGCTTACCCCCAGGATATGCCTCACAATTCTGTTTTAAAACTTACTTTACTTATAAGTTTGTGTGCCGCCTACTACAAAGACTCTTTCTTCCCAGATCTTTCAGAGGCCTTGCTATATTTCTAAGCTTGGTGAGAACATCTTGGCATACATGGGAAACTACATAAAGCTTTTTGTTCTTTCTTTCAATGCATGAGATTTGGCAATGTCTGTTCAGCGATCAACGTATTACAAGGCTTTAGGAAGATTTGGGTATGAGGCATTGTCTATTATTATTATTATTATTATTATTATTATTATTATTATTATTATTATTATTATTATTATTATTATTATTATTATTATTATTATTAAATTCAATTCAGTCTGGGACTAGTAAAAACTTAACAGTTCAAGTCCCAAGGACCTAAGAGCTGCTAAGGTAGCATCTGAGTATATAGGCTGTTCCAATTAGGATGTTTTTTTGCAAAGTCAGGATATTCATGTCTAATAAGTTCAAAATTTCCATTATTATTATTGTTATATCATCATTGTCATCGTTGTCATCGTCATCAGGTTGGTACTCAAGATAAACTAATAGATGCATCCAACACAGAAGGTTTATTTTTCAAAGGTAACATTTGTGTCTTAAAAGACATCTGCATGTTACAATCTTATAGTTCAAAAGTGTTTCTGGTAAGAGATCTGTAACATAATATATTATGCTGCATTACAGATGGAGTCCTTAATCATAGTTAAGATACCATATCTGCACCAGCCTGTAGGTGCTATAAGCATAAATCAGACTTGTTAAAAGTTACCTATAGAAATTACATCTTCAGGTAATCTACTATAAAACTTTCTAAACTAAACTGGATTATTTCTGTTTTTTACCTCGTTAGGGATCCTTTTTATTATATAGCCGCAATGACTATTGAAGACAAGCTAGTATTTATAATCATATCTGTAGTAGTGTAACAGAGAATTTATATGGATGAGATACTGTCTGGGAACGACACACTGCCTTGTTGTTTTATCATGGAATTAAATTCAAAGCTGTGAAAGTAACATAAAATAAAATTCAACTTGGCAGACGGTGGTGAATTTGCCTAATTGTAATCCACAAACCTCAACCCAGCAATAAATACATTGCCATTCAATGTGGAAATTTATTACAGTCATTCTTAAATCACTTTGTTAAACTGCCATGGGAGGTTTTTTCCCGGCCTTTAAAAGAAAAACTTTCAACCCTAACCACATGCAAAACAAAACCTCTTTTGGGTTTAGCTCACCCACTGAAACTATACCCCTTCAAACACTTCCACATCAAAACTACAGAGCAAATGGGATCACTAACACTGCAGCTGACAAGCCATTTGCCTGGTTTCAGCACGCTCTCTTACACACACACACATGCACAATCCTGTCCTCTTTCCACATTAGATTAGCAGCTCAGAATAACTGGAACAAGATCATGTAGCAAAAGGCTCCAGGAAGTCTGAGAAAGAGCAACATGTATTCTTCTTAAGAAAAATGAGATCAGACAGTGGAAGACTGGAGGTTTAAACATGGATCTGCCCCAATCTTATTAAAATAAGGGATAGGAGGGACATGGCCGCAGTTAATTCTAGCTTTGGCAATGTTACGTGACTGGATTACTGCATTCTGTACTGGGCAAAACTCCATTCAGATATATTATAGTCACTTGGATTTTCAGATGGTATGTCACATGAAACCAGCAAATTAAATTAAATAGATTTCTACAAGCTCAAAGCAAGGTTACAGGGAGATTACCATACACATGTGCACACCCACATATCTGCATGGTTCTTTGCTTTGGTTTTGCCTCCTTCTAATCAGCTCCAGATTGTGCCACATTCTCATGAGGGATATGAGCTGCTCATTCAGGAACTACAAAGCAGATACTTAGCAGGATGGCCCAATCAGAGAAGGCAATACCTGTTGCGTCTACACTGCCTCCTTAGTCACTGCCTCAAATGCCTTGTCATCAAGAACCACACCCAGTATAGAGACTGTGATTCATACAGAGACTGCTTCAAACTCTAGCAACATCCTTATCTGTCTTCTACAAATACTATTTTCCAAATGGTTGAGACTACAATTCCTATAATCTCCAGCTCAACCGCCATCCAACTTTTCTCAGGTTTGGGAATAACTAAGCTAAAGTCAAGATTCTAGCCAATTTGAGCAGCTTTGTCGGCAAAGGGCTGTGTAAAATTGGCTATGGTGACTAGACCAAGTATTATAACTTGCTATTGGCTTTTTACTAATATAGTAGGGAATTTATTTTTTTTCACTCAACTGTGTCAATTCTCAGAGACTACCTGGACAAGTCCCTCCAGTTTTCTTAGCAAGGTTTTTCAGAAGTGATTTACCATTGACTCCTTCCTAGGGATGAGAAACAGTGACTGGCCAAAGGTCACCGAGCTGACCTTGTGCCCAAGGAAGAACTAGCCTGATGCCTTAACTCAGGGGTCTTCAAACTTGGCCCTTTTAGGACTTGTGGATTTCAACTCCCAGAATTCCTCAGCCAGGTATGCTGGCTGAGGAATTCTGGGAGTTGAAGTCCACAAGTCATAAAAGGGCCAAGTTTGAAGACCCCTGCCTTAAGTACTACACCAAAATGGCTCTTAATAGGAGATCAGTTATCTTCAAAAGAGTTGCTGAATGACAATGTATGGACTTAGTAAGGAAGAAAAATAAAGGCATCTCTCTCTAGGGATTGTTTTGGCTGCCCATTTTTTGGAAATCTTCACCAAGAGGTCAACAGGGATTGATCAGCAGAAAGTAACTTCTCAGGGGAATGTCATTCAGTTCTTTATCTCCTTCCTGTTGCCAATGGCTAAAGCATTGGGCAGAGCTGCCCACTAGATCAGGGGTCCCCAACCCGCAGTCCATGGACCAGTACTGGGCCGTGGCATGCCAGCAACCGGTCCGCACAAACAAGCAAAGCCCCATCCGCGGGATGCAGGCAGCACACAAAACCACACATCTTCCAGTCCGCGGAAAAACCTCTCTCCGTGGAACTGGTCCCTGGTGCCAAAAGGTTGGGGACCTCTGCACTAGATAACTGGGAATTTCCTAAGTGCAATTGCATCCATCAGACACCAGGAGCATATTTTTCAAATGGGTCCTGCCCCACATTTGTCACTGATAGTGGAATTGCACATTATTCATAGCTCCCAAGTAGGAAACACACCACTATTACTGAAAGCCTGAACAACTTAAAACAAGATTTCTTCACTATTTTATCTCTCAAAGGTGATCTAGGAGGTAATCTGACACCAATTCCTACTGCCACTGAAAAAGCAGTAAACAATCTGCTTCTTCAACCTCAAGCTCTAAAAATGATTGATGATCCTAATTCATTATAACCTTCTTTCCCCATCTTTAGTTGAAACCTGGACCTTCTTCAAAAGCAGTAGCAGATCCCCCTTCACATTCTGCTCGATTTCTATTAAAGAGTGATGTTGCAAAAACCAATCCAGGTAACCACCATGCTGACTAGCTCAAGGTTGACTCAGCCTTCCATCCTTCCCAGGTCGGTAAAAGGAAAACTCAGATTGTTGGGGGGCAATGTGCTGACTCTGTAAACTGCTTAGAGAGGGCTGTAAAGCACTGTGAAGTGGTAAATAAGTCTTAAGTGCTATTGCTATTCTATAAGCTTACTATGTATACTTGGCACCTTACATGCTAAGCATTTTTTATAAACTTACTGATGAGATAGTCCAAGAATTTTTTTTTTTAGCAATGAAGTGAACCAGTTTTAGAACCGGTTTTCCTTTTGCTGATCAATGTA